CAGATAATGTTCTTAACATCAAGTTTTATAATAGGTCGATTCACTCTAATTTTTAAGCTAACGGCATAAAACTTGAATTTCTGAGCGTAAATCTGATATGTTACGCGTTTGTAAGGCGGACACAACACATAATGCTGGTGTGGCGTCCTATTGTAATGAGTAATATCAAAATTCTCCATATTGTACGTCTCAAATTAAACGATACACAGGTAATTATCTAAGATCTTAAAATACAAACCTAATAACTGCTATACTTAAAATACCACAAAGAGGTCTCCTGCATCGATGTACCAATATAATATAATATAGGCATATTGTATAAAATCAATCGGGTCCCACAAAGCTGCCGTGAAAATTATAAAAATAAATTATCTTTACTCTGCTTTAGCAAACAGTAAATAGTATAATAGTTTAGGTCAATACACGACATTTGAAGCCCTAAAATAATTGTTTTTATGTAATATTAATTGAAGGTATATGTCAAAAAAAGATACTATTAGAACATTTTTACATTTAATGCAATTAATTAAGGCCCACATTTTTTTTTAAATACCTGGATCATAAACTGACGTGCGGTGTGCCTGACGACTGTTCCTTCTCCACCCAAGCTGTAGCAAGATAATAAAAATATGTTCTCGTCGTAGCGAACCAATGGCTCTCTTTTCACGAATTTCAAATTGATTGTTATTAAATTAGTTTCAGATTTTGTAGCAAGTTTCTGTTACTCCTGCACTGAAAGTTTAGTTTTCGATGACGGTTGAAGCGTTGGAAAGCGACATTTTTCAGAGAGCGGTAAAGTGGTAATCCCCAAAAGTGCAGGGCGGTAAAATGAAAATCTCCGAAAGTACTGAGCGCGCGTATCCTCTGCCCAACCAGGTACTAAAATCTATACCACGGTCATTACCAAAAAATTAACTTTTGGTTTCATCTTATATTCATATTATAACCTCCTTGCATGACGCGTGAACTTTTTTCTTTCATGAGATGGTTTTCGTATAATAATTTGGTTGGACGGTGCATAGATCCCTCCATAATGCATTACCTCTGCCGTGATTACAAATATTTGTATTCTTATTTTATTTTAATATAATAATATAATAATAATTATTTACCGAAATCTATACCACGGTCCTTACCAAAAAATTAACTTTTGGTTACTTCTTGTATTCGTATTATATCCTCCATGCATGGCACTTAATAAAATTAATAAAACCAAATCGTTTCTTTCATGAAATATTGTTTTTGTCACGCCTGCACCGAAAGTTTGGTTTTCGACCACGGTTGAAGCGTTCGAAAGCGTCCTTCTTCCGTCCAGCGGGCGGTAAAGTGGAAATCCCCAAAAGTGCCGGGCGGAAAAGAGGAAATCCCCAAAAGTGCCGGGTGGAAAAGAGGAAATCCCCAAAAGTGCCGGGTGGAAAAGAGGAAATCCCCAAAAGTGCCGGGCGGAAAAGAAGAAATCCCCAAAAGTGCCGGCCGCCCGGCGCGTATCCCCTGCACAACCAGAAACTAAAATGCATACCTACCACGGTTCTTACAAAACATAAACTTTTGGTTACATCTTAAATGTATAGTATAACCTCCTTGCATGACGCATAAACATTTAAACATATTATTTAATTTGCACTGTTCCTAGATAAGTGCGTCGAACGATGCGTTAGTATTGTTTTTGTAGAATAGTCTATAATTGTTGCATAGATCCCTGCATAACCTTTTCCATGAACGCAGTGGCGTGACAAAAAATAGTATGTGTGGCGGGAAGGCCATTGCCACACAATATACTATTTCGTAGAATAGTCCGGTCGTTGCATAGATTCCAGCCAGCATTACTTTTGCCGTGAATCGTGATGGCGTGTTCGAAGAAAGCAGAGGAAAAGAAATTTCCGCACTTGCCACACAATTTGCTACTTTGGAGAGGGGTATGATTAAAAGCTGATTTTTATAATCAATTAGTATTTACTATTTAGTTCGTTTTGTATCATTCTGATTGTACCTACCTTTGCTTTGACCATCTAAATGTGCTTATTATTATGTTTTTTTCCCCTGAATGTAATTTTTGCTTATTTTTACACAGTATTATTACTATATGAATATTATTTTGATTTTTCGGTGATTGTATGAAATATGCTTTTTTAGCGGTTTATTTCGCTATACATAATACGAGCCTTTATGTTCTATATTTTATAATTTGTACAGTTGTACTTATTGCACAACATGTGCGCGGATTGTATAACGTTAGTGAAATAATACATTTCTTTGAATATTTGAACTTACTGTAATATTATATACTGCGGAAATTTGTAGGTGAAAAACGTATTGACCACATTGCCGGGTTGTCATATTGTTTGGTACCTATAGAAATAAACTCAAACAATAGAGCAAAGCAAATAATTTACATTGTAACGACGGACTTAGCTAACTGATTAGGTGAAAACTTCTCAAGGGACTTTACCCTAATATAATAATAATATCGTCCTCGTGTCTCGTCTTAACAATATTTCGTAACGCAGTTCAATCTTATAAGTTGTTATAATAAATTATTACAGTCACACGGCGTCGTGGGTAGTCAACTAATGGTACGTTCCGTATCGTGAAGGTCCTTTTTCCCCCACCAGAACCACCCATCATGGAACGGCAAATATCACGAAAATCGGTACCCATTAGGAGAGGGTGAGAACTGAAAGTCAACGCAATTCAATCTTATAATTTTTATGGTCGTCGTCGTGGATATTCAAAGGGTACGTTCCGAATCGTAACGGTCCTTTTTCCCAGGTTAGAACCACCCTTCACCGACCGGCATACCTAACGAAAATCAGTATCTATGAGGAGAGGGTGAGATTGTGAAAACCGAAAAACGATGTTTCGACTTGGCGACACACGTCGGGTGATTTATAGAGAGTGTTTCAGAGCAGATGTACCTCTGACTGCCTACCTTCAACGCCGCACGACCGTCGTTTACGGTCGAAATGAACTAACAAAATATTAATAGTGATAATATTATGAGATAATAAAAATTAGTTTGAGCACATTCAAAATGTTTTACTTGAAAACTTTCGGCTCGTTTTCGTACAACCAGAACACATATTATGCTAAATATACCTATATATTTTTAAATTTTGACCTCCATAAGGGGAATCAATTATTGGTTACAGATTGTAACACAAACTATCGAATATTCAAGCTCCATGCTTTTGGGTGAATTACGTTTTTAGCCACCTAAAAAAATGGTGCCTAAATGTGCTTAAACAAGTACGATACTATATAAAATTGTACAGATCAAGATGAAATATTGTATATTATACAATATTATAGTCCCAAGTCTGTCGAAATGAGAGGATTGATAAGATACTGCCCAAACGCGTCACAGTTTTCGTGCTTTCCCCAACACATTTCAATTTTACTATAATCGCCCAAAATATTCGATAACAATATAAGTTTATCTTATAATGAAAAATAATCTTTTGAGTAGATAATATTATTATTAATATAATTTTGAATTATTGTACTTTTATAGAACAGTTTCACAGTTTTCACTGCACGTTGGTGACGGTTTGTAGGCCAATAAATATTGAGGACATTTTGTAGAATGAAAGTCAACATTTCTAATATTTTTGAGACGTAGCGATAAAAACAATGTTTTAACAGCGATGATTATAAATTTAGTTATATGCATATATATAATCATGTCCAGTGGGGCCGTTATTATGTTGAATAAATAAAATCGTACTCCTTAATGCGAAAAACCAAAAACAACATTTTACTGTGTAAACAGAATAATTTTATTAGATCATAATTTGATGAAAATTTTTTAAACAATTTTGATAATAATTATGCAGAAAAAATGAGATACAATACCACTTTTGGTTGTAAAAACAATGAATATAATTATTTTAAAGAAAAAAAAATGCATCGGACAAGACGAGTCGATGTTGTGGGGGGTACGTGATGGTGAATGGATGGTGATGCAGATAATGATGGCCACTGGTCAGCTCTACACTGTTCTCACGGCCGGACCTGCTGGGTGGACGAGAGTCGAGGGCACGTTTACTCTTTACTTGAAGACGACCATGGAGGCGGACGAAGCAAGGCCACGAGGGCTGCGAGAGCGATGACGACAATTGGCGACGAACGGCTAGTGCTCGATGTAGTGAGCTTGACGCCTTGACGGTACTGCAGGCGCCGAAGACGACCGTTGTGCCGGCGACGACGGTGACCAAAGCGAGCGACGAAGACTATAATATCGGCCGACAGGATCAGACCACTGGACGAAAAATGGAGAGAATCTGCAGACAGCATCGCAACTCTGCATACTTTTCATATAAAAAAAATCAAGATAGATTGACAGGATTTGTGGAGCCCCGAAACAGCCCCACAATTTGTAAACAGCTATCCAAGGGGAGCACGTGAGTGACAGCTAGTATAATACCTAATATATAGGTACTCTGTTTGCCGAGAGATCACTCTGGTTCTGCGCATGCAGATTGACGGAATAGGTACCTATACTTTAAAAGTTTCTTATTTCTGCTTACCCTCGAATAATAAATGTTTTTAATTTATGACAAAATAACTAAAAAATCGATATTGTTCGTTTAATAATCTACCTATCTAATTTCGTTTTCTAAATAATAATAATAATGATAATAAATATATTATCGTGGTTGTTATCAATCTTTATCACGTTATCAGTTGTATTTTGATAACGATTTAACTCCTAAGTTATTGTGATAAACGTACATTTTTATTTTGTTGAAAATATTTTTATAATAATATTCTAATTATTATTTTTTGAAGAATTTGATCGTTTTAAAAATTACATGTCTTAAATACCTAATTCAAATAAAAACGTTTTACTATTAACTTTACTGGCATAGTGAGTTTTGTGTTACCGTACTCAATATAAATTTAATAGTTTTCATTATCATATTAAGTTATAATAATATATTGTAACCTAATAATTTAAGTTAATTTGTTGCACGTTTGTATCAGTTTTATATATTTAAAATATGTTTAACACTGCCGGGAAGATTAGCTTGTGAGTTTATTCATTTCAAATGTCATTTATTTATTCATATAGATATATTATATTAAAATTATTTTTTTTTTAGATTGAATAACTTGGTCCGTAGCTCTCCATTGCGAGTATGTTGTTATGAACTATTCAAGGCTAATATATGCTCATCGAATACATTAAGAAAAAAGAGAGTACCTAGGGAAGAAAAAGTATAGTACAATTTCCCATTAATTTGTTTATTTCTTTGTAATTCTTAAAAAAAATAGTTAGGTATATCCCAGAAATATAATATCAAAAATTAATTTTAATATAACGCTATGCTTGCATTAATAAAACTATTGATTGTTGAACCTACTTGCTTCAAGTTTGCCTATAATAGCATATTTTATGATTTTTTTTTTTAGAAAACTATTGTTTCACCCGTTATCAATTTAAAACCAAAACAAAAGAAAACCATCGATATCTGGAAAAATATGACCGTATCGGAATTGGCAAGTGCGACTGGAATACCTGTAGGTAAATTCTGTGTATTGATGAGAAATTATTATTATATAAGGTCTTAAAACTCATACATTACTTTTGGTTTTGAACATTTCTACCTGCATATTGTATAATTGTTTAACTAAGTATTGTACAGTAGCAGTACTGTAGCAGTGGCAGTAAAATCCTGTTCTTTTGGTAGTGCCACTGCGATTACAGTAAATATTGTGTACAGATGCATTTTACCGTCACTGCCGCAGTGTGTGGGGCTGGGGCCGATCCAGAGTTAGGAAACTGTGGGTCAGGACATTTCAAGGGTCCACTTATTAAAACCAGATTAGAAATCTATACTTGTGTACTAGCAGGTATATAAAACAAAAAAATTCATTTAAACTGTATGTGTGTTAATTCGAGGGTCCAAGTGTCCAACTACCCAAGATCTGAAAAGAGGCCAATTTGATCAACAGATATTAACTGTGGGTCAGCTGACTTCCTGAAACCTCCCTAGATCCTCCACGGGTGTGGGAACCTTTAAACAGTAAAACAAATTTTAATTAAAAAGTTTTTATTGGGATTAAACACAGTGAGATATTCTATATAATACAAATTACTCAAAACTTTTGTATCTATGATATCATTTTAAATTATTGTAACTTAGGTATTATACTTTGAATTTTTATATTTGACAATGATTAATATTAACTATATATTTTTATTACAGATAATGTTCTTAAAATAATTGAATTAGGTCAAAATGCACATTTGTATTTTGAACCTACAAGTGTAATGGATAATGTTTCAATCCTTCGTGAAATTGTTAAAAAGTGTGGATTTAAATCTAACTTAACATCAAACCCTAATACAAATAAAAAATTGTCTGATGATCATTTGAAGGATGCCATTAAAAGGTAAAACATTTTGAAGCAAATTGAATTCTAGTTATTCAGTAAAACGCATTATATAATTATTATTATCATCAGTTTATTAATGTAATAATAAATAATTATATTTTTTTATTTACTTATATATTTCTATTTTACAATATTAATTTTAGACCTCCCGCACCATATGAATCTACAATTGTGAGAAATCCAGTTGTAACAATAATGGGTCATGTGGATCATGGAAAAACCACATTATTAGATACTCTAAGGAATGCATCTGTGGCTAAATCTGAGTTTGGTGCTATTACGCAGCATATTGGTGCTTTTCCAGGTAATAATATTTTAATGTAAAGCTAATAATTTACCATATGATGTTTCACATTTTAATGAATTTGATTTCAGTTATTTTAGAGAATGGGAAAAAAATAACATTTTTAGATACACCTGGACATGCTGCCTTTGCGACTATTAGAAGTCGAGGTGCACAAGTAACAGATATTGTTGTATTAGTAGTAGCAGCTGATGATGGAGTCAAGGAACAAACTATTGAGTCAATTCGAATGGCTAAACATGCAAAAGGTATAGATATACTTTATCAGTAGTATCATACATGCTTATAAGTTATTATTAAAATAATAAATACTTATTTTTTACACTAACAATCAAACTAGAAGCCAACATTTTACACATATAAAATTCACTGTTCATTTATCTTAAATAAGGTTAAATTACTTTTAAGCTCTAATAATCTAATGGTTATCCATTTATGACTTCCTTATCTTATAATACCGCAATTTTGGTTTATTCAAATTGAGTATGTAGTTAGAATATAAATTATAATATGTATTCAAATTTGTTTTAGTTCCAATAATTGTGGCAATCAACAAAATAGACAAGCCAACAGCAAATATAGTATGTGTTAACTAATTAAAAAGTATAATATTTTTATTTTATATATTTTTTTTCTTAGGAACGTTGTAAGAAAATGTTGCAAACTCAAGGGGGATTGGACCTTGAAGAATTTGGTGGTACTGTTCAAGTAGTTCAAATATCTGCCTTGCATGGTACTAATTTCAACGATTTAATTGAATCAATTCTAACTCAAGCTGAAGTATTGGATTTACGTGCTGATCCTAACCCTCCAGCTGAAGGAGTAATAATAGAATCAAAACTTGATAATCAAAAAGGGTAAGTTAGGAAAAAAGTTATTTAATAGTCACAAGGTATAATATCACTTAATAATTTAATAACAAATGAAGGCAGTCATTAATTACTTGGGTAAACTTTTTAACTAATTATCTATGTGCAAGGGTTAGTCCAAAATAATTTTAAAACAAATTGAAAAAGCATATTTTAGGATTAAATGTTGTAGTAATACTTATACTTTATAGTTTGAGATTTCTACCACAGTGCTAAATCAATTAAAAAAAATTAAAAAAAATTTGAAATTAGGAATGCGGTATTATCATTGTATATATTATAATATATTTACAAATATGTAAGTTACTTTCTCTAAAATATTAAATTTCTTTTAGCCATGTTCATAAACTAATAAATAATGTTCCAATAATATGTTTAGTGTATAATAATATGATCTCAGTATAACAATAATACTTTAATTACACCTGTTTGCTAGTATATGGTTTGACATTTCATTTTGAAAAGTTTAAAATTTATTTTTTAAGGAATTCTTAACAACATAAAGTTTATTTATTTAGTTGCTTTTACTGATTTTTGTTTGTAAAATTCTAAATTTTTAATCCACATTACAAATTAATAATTAGTAATTACATATCTTATTTTTATTAAGACAGAAAAATATATATAAATCTCATGTTAAGACAGATACTATTTAGATACTATCCAGATTCGTAAAAATACTTCCAATTATTTTAGTACATAAACTGAAAATTATGATTGTAATTGTAATTTTACTTATTTTTTCAGAAAATTAGCAACAGTTCTTGTTCAACGTGGGAAATTATTGAATAATAGTATACTTGTAGCTGGCACTGTCTGGGGAAGAGTACGAACCATGATGGATCATCAAAACAATGTTCTTCAAGAAGCTAACCCGTCTGATGCAATTCAATTAATAGGTTGGAAAGACTTACCACAAGCTGGACAAGAATTTTTACAAGTTTCATCTGATGTAGTTATTTTTTGACCATTTCTTATTTTATTTCATTTAAATATTCAATAATTTTTTATACTTATCAAAATTATTATTATTATTGTACAGAGACGTGCGCGAGAAGTAGTTGATTATCGAATATCTAAATCTATAGAACAAAAACAAATTGAAGATAGCATTTATATTTCATCAAAACTTGAACAGCATAATAAGGTAAATATACAAATTATTAGATTTAATGTTCTTCCTTTACATATTGAAATTGAATTCTACCAATTTACCTAATATAACATACTTACAGCTAATTATGTTAGATGAATGCATATAAATATTATACTTCTAAAATATATTGTTTTAATTTTTACCCAAAGGTAAACTAATAAAATAAGATCATGAATGATTGTATCTAATACAATTTAGTGGTTGGTTTATACTTTATATTATCATCAATCTTTATAATTTGATCATAAAGTCACTTAATGGCATTTTAAAAAATATCATTATTTTCTGAACTCTATTCTATACTTTTTTGGCCATCAAAAACTGATCAACACTGAGTAAGTTTTTTTGAAGACGAACAGAGTATACTTATCGTACATTATTACCATAGATGATATTTTATAGTGTAATATTTAATTGTTATACATGCCATACAAAATAAATAAAATAAAAACTTACATAGAAATTATTTTTATAATATTTCATTGAATTTATTTTAAAATTAAAGTTTTGAAACAGTACCTATAGTGAAAACATTTCTTTTTATCATGGTACATTAACGCCACAATTTACATGAGTTAGAGAGAATAAAATCTTATAAAACTGTTTTAATTTTGGATAATAATTATTGTATTTGTGTGTATATTGGAAGTAACAGAATTTTTCATTGATGATTTTTATATTTAACAATAATAATTCTACAAGCTCAAATAAAATAAAATATACTTATATGCCATATTAGGAGTATCAAAGTCATCTGGCAGAGAAAAAAAAGGGTGGCATTTTCAGAAGAAGAAAGTTTAGTACAGTGTATCAAGAAAAACAATTAGAAAATAGAAAAAATGTTAAAGAAGACGAAATTTGTTTAAATGTTGTAGTCAAAGGTAATCAAAATTATTAATTATACATAATTTAACCAGATTAATTTTAATGATGTTGTGTACATGTTCTTAATTTAGGAGATGTCATTGGATCTGTTGAGGCAATCTTAGACGTATTAGAAACTTATGAAAGTAATCAATGCAAATTAGATATTGTTCATTATGGTGTAGGTAATGTATGTGTTACTGATATTGAGTATGCTGATGCTTTCAAAGGTAAATCCAATTATAGTAGTTCAATTATAAAATATTATAAAAATGTTTGTCAATTAAGAATATAAATTTGTACTGAATACTAAGAGGACACGACAGCCATATTATACTGTATTATATCTGTTTTACAATAGATATATTATACTGTACATTTATGTTTGTCACAAATCATTGTCAATACAGTTCGTTATTTTTATTAGTAGTGAATAGTGATTAATAGGATGTCTACGCACTATTTGTTTTCTAACAAACGCCATGCGCAGCTTAGACAAAATACATTAACCCAGAATCATTTTTACTATGTTTTTAAGCAATCTTCGGGCAAAATCACCCACTACAGAAAATATAGAGAATAATATTTTTGAGGGAATGACATATCGATTTTATATTATATTGTTCTTTGACTTTGTATTCGACTTTCAAAATAAACAATAAAAATGTTATACATATAAATTATGTTTAAATTGTTTTGAGGCAATATTTAGACAAATCGATATGACATTCCCTCAAAAATATTATTCTCTATCTTTTTTGTAATGAGTGATTTTACTATAAGAATATTTAAAAACATAGAAAAAATGATTCTGCTTAAATCTGTTTTTTCTATGTTGCGCGTGGGCCGGAGAGAGAAAACAAAAAGCGCGCTGACATCCTCTTAATTTTAGTGGAGGGATGTAGTTATCCTGCAAAGACTCATATAGTTGTGAATAAGAAGAAGAAGAAATTGACTTACCCACATTTTTGATATTATTCCAGAAATGCTTAAAAATGTCATATTAAAAAAGAGTGTTTTAAAATTGTTGTATTTAAATTTACGGAGAAGTTAAATTCAAAAAAGGTGGGCAAGTGGGTGTCGCTCTGCTGTACAGTAGGTTACAAGTGGGTCACTGTATAATGGATGGTATTAAATTTGAATTCAATGATATAATATCATTGTATAAGAAAAACGATTCTGAGCGGTGATGGTATGTCAGTCTATGTATAAGGCATATTATATACATATCTATGGTATTAAACAAAAAATTGACCTATAATAGGTACCTATAATAAATTCCAAATTAATCATATCACAATATCCATTAGATACTTATAACGCGTTATACATCAACAAAAACCGTGATACTATCATAGATATATAATAGTACACTTTAGAAGTTTCAAGTACCCACGAATAGTATTATTCAATCACAACAAAATAACTAAAATCGTAATTCTTGGTTTAAATATGAAATTTTGTCTAAATTTGAAATTAAAATGTCTGTAAAAAATAAGTGTGTTTATATATTTTTTAGATTTTTTGGTTACAGTATGAATTATTTAAGAGAATCTTTGTTTTAAATTTTCAACTCTTAGTTATAAAAACTGAACATTTTATAATTTTTTAATTCCAACGATTGATAATTTTCGAGATTTTGATAAATTTTGTCAAAATTCCAACTTTAAATGCTTATAAAAAAAAATCGTGCCTATGTATTTTTAATATTTTTCAACTGATATTGTAACAATATATCAGGAGCCTTGTATTAAATTTTTACACTTTTTGGCCCAACAGATAAAACTTTATTGATATTTATAGAAAAAAAAACTAAAAAAAATTGAAAGCTGTAAATGTCCATAAACAGCTCAAAAAGAGTCAAAATATTTTCAAAATTGTATGGTGTATATGAAATGCTAATATAAACATTCAGTGAAATTTTCATGTATCTACAGTTATTCGTTTTTGAATTACAACAAAATAAGGAAATCGCTACATGAGAAATCGAGTGAAAATCCAATGTTGTAAAAATTTGAATTTCAAACGCTCATAAAAATTTAATTTGACTGTCCGGTAGAGATTTTTTTATTGATAAAGGTAGATAATCTTATAAGGAATCTTGTGTTTCATTTTCAAATCTTAGATTTAAAAAGAAAAATTTTTACGAATTCTTAACTCAAAATAATTTGCTTATTTTCGTGATTTTTCCATATTTTGTCAATTTTTGAACTTTAAATGCTTATAAAAAAAATTGTGACTAAGGATTTTTAATATTTTTCATCTGCCTTTGAAACAACATATTAGGAGCCTTCTATTAAATTTTCAAGCTTTCGCAACCAACAAATAAAATTTTATTGATATTTCTAGAAAAAAAACTAAAATAAAATGAAAAATGAAAATGTCCCTAAACAGTTCAAAATAAATCAAAATATTTTGAAAATGTTATCGTGTATAGAAAATGCAAATATAAACAACCAGTGAAAATTTCATGTATCTACGGTCATTTGTTTTAAAGTTACACCAATAACCAAATTCGATTTTTTGGAAAATCGATTTTGCGTAAAAATTCCCGTTTTTCCTTAATTTTTATGTTGTTTTTCCCGGCGCTTGTGAAAACTACTGGAAAATGTTTACTTTTGACCCCCCAAAGTACCAACTAGATTCACTTTCCTATCAGAAAAGGTACTATTGAAGAAAATCGAAGCACTTTTACTGTCCCAAAACGTGATGACAGACACAAAAAAAAATATAAAAATATAAAAATATAAAAACATACATCATTGTAAAACCAATACATTCATCGCTCCGCTCAGAATCTAAAATCAAAAATGTGGAAAAGTCGATTTCAAGTAGATTTGACTGCAAATTCAAATCTGTTTTTAGAATTCTTATCGCTTTATTAGATCAATTGGTATGTTTAACAAAAAACTCATCTAAAATACTATGTCGAGCTTGTGTTAGACAAAAATAGAAAATCATGGTATCGAATCCCCTTAATATATAAAAAAATTGCTATGCTCACACTACACTTTATTTTTATTGCAATTTGAGATTACTTGTTTTAATATCATCAAAAGTAGTAAAAACCAAGAAATAAAATAAATTATGTTTTTCTGTTTAAAAGTTTAATAAGATTAAATGCTGCGATAAATTTACTTATCTTAAAAATAACGAAATGGTGTGGTTAATACCTCATGTACATTTACTGTGTAATGACTAAAGATTGTTGAAAACAGAGACAACAAAATCCTCTTAATTTAATAAATATTTTCTAGCTATATGGAATTTAATTTATTTTTGTTTTATTTTAGCTATAGTTTATGCCTTTAATGTTGGTTCATTAAAAGATGCAGAGGAAAATGCTAAACAAAATGGTATCACTATTAAACAACATAATATAATCTACAAACTGGTAGATGATATAAAAGAAGAAATGAACAATTGTTTACCACCAGTTGAAGTTGAGGATGTACAAGGTATTTAATTGATTCATTAAAATTGTAATCTTTATAGACTAAGTGTCTTATACACTATTTTATTTTCACTGTTTTTAATATTTAAATAGGGGAAGCCAATGTGTTACAAGAATTTTTAATTAATGAAAATAAAAAAAAAATTCCTGTAGCTGGATGTAGGTGTACAAGTGGTACACTGAAAAAAGCAGCACTTTTTAAAGTTATTCGTGATCAGGATACAGTTCTTTATAGAGGTATGCATATCAATAGATTCATTTTTAATAAAGGTCAATCATATTATTAAAAATATTACATTTTTAACTAAAAGGTAAATTATCATCTTTGAGACATCTAAAAGATGAAGTGGCCACAATCAAGACAAATATGGAATGTGGGTTACGGTTAGAAGATACAAATATTAGACTGAACCCAGGTGATAAAATAGTGTGCTATACGTTGCGGGAACAACAACAAAAAATTACTTGGGAAACTGGTTTCTAAATACTTAATTTGGTTACATTGACTGAAGTTCTTATTAATTTTTATAACTTTCTATTTCTAGTTGTTCAATAAAATATACATTTTTAGCTTAGCAATTATGTACAAAATCTGTTAAATGTAAATATAAATGTATTTATTTTAGTTATGTGGTTTTCGTTTTTCAGTATTATTTTCCTCAAAAAAAAAATGTCTACACATAACGAAATTGTGTAATATTTCTGAAAATGATTTACATCCAGAAGTTAAACACATATCAGATAAGAGTGTTCTATGTTAGGTTCTATATAAATTAATCATACTAACTTCTGTAGTTATGTGGATGTATAAAAAAAATATTTTAGATATTGCTGTAATGGTCATAACTTTTAACTAATAATTAATTATGTATTTATTAGTAGGCCTTTAATCCACAATGTAAGCCACACTGTTTTTGAATTGCTCAATGTTTATGTTTCTTAAAAGTTTATTAAAATTCTTTAAAAATCGTCTGCACGAATTCATCATAATACTTATTTTGCTCTTGATTAAACGTCCTCATATTTTACACACGCCATGCAACTATTTATTATATTAAATATTTTTATATTTGGTCTTTTATAGTTTATTTTTATTTTTGATATTTAAATTTTAAAAGCTTTGCCTAGCCAGTAGTCACTGTAACCAATCATCTTTTTTCCTGCTAATATTTTCATGACTTAATGTCTTAATAGTGATAATTTCTTCTTTAGATTTGCCATGATTGTCCTCCGCTTTTTTATCATTTCTTTTCATTTCCATTATATTTCAATTAGGTAAATTCATTATGTTGCATAGTGTGTGTTCATAAATATTGTTCTTCTTGTTTCTACAATTTTAATAGTCTTGGACCTTGGTTCTTGTTCCATTTTTAGACTCACTTCCGTACAGTGCCAAACTAAAGTTTTAACAAATAACAAAAGCGATCAAAATATATTATTCTTTTGAATCCATTGTCTTGTTTAATATAACTACCCGGATGTAAAAATTACTAAACTCTACTTTGTTGACTGAAAAGTGATAACTCTTCCCATTATTGTTAAAATTCCACATTTATTGTCTGGAACTTATATGTATTGTTTAAATCCATGTGACATGTCTCTTAATATTAATCATTCTTGTGCCTCTTGTTTCCTTTATCTTCTCATAAATCCTCTAATGGTTATAAAGGTTATAATTTATAACACACCACTAAATAGAATATTTACTGAATGTTATAAAATAAGTTGATTTGATTTTTCAATTCAAATAATCCATCTGTCTTAAAACTTAGTACAATATGATATTTACAGTTTATCCTTAGCTTTATCTTAATAGTATATGTATTGTGTCTTTATCTCAAATATTATAATATTTCTATAATCTATGGTAGATACTACATAATATACATTATTTCATTAGGTACCTATTAATTAGGTACCTACTGTACTTGAGCCATTTGGCTTAAGTTTAAATAAATCAATAACTTTCTTATGTTTGTTCACTAGGTATCCATTGTTTTATTATGTGTTATTCAAATATATTATAACATATTATATTACAAATATAAAATATTAGTGCCCATTACCTAAGGCATTATAATACTAATAAATATATAATAATACAAAATTAAATATTAAAAAACAATGCTAACTACAACAATTATGTGATTGGGCCAGAAGCCAGAAGGTATTACATATTAACTAGTATATTATTTTGTTAAAAATTAAAAATTATACGTATTTCTAATTGTATTAATTTATTTAATAATAGTACAATTTAATTAATTTATCTAATTTTTTTTTTTAGTTAATCGATAATCTAACTTGAGGTAAAAACATAATCTGTGTTTGTATGGTGGTTTTTATGATATGTTAATATTAACCAAGTTATTTTTAAAATTCACATGATATATTACATGCTTATAAACCATAACTTCCTTAAAAATTAAACTATCATAAAAATACAAAGTATACAAGCACAGATAATGTACCTACCAACCTTTACATTTTATAATAGGTCAATTAACTCTAATATTCAATCTAACACAAAATTGTTTTTTTTTTCAGAACAAATATTAGCTAAATTGCTCGTTATTATATGAACACTCGGGTGTGGCATCTTCTTGAAACAATTCTATAAATTCAATTCTAATGATAAATTACCTAAAAATATTAAGGGTTCTAAAATAAGTAGGTATCTATGTACCTAACCTTTATCTATTATCGCCTAATTGTGAGAAATGGATTGTGCTTAAAGGCACTTTGATGAGCTAATTACTGTTATAAGTTATAACCATTAACCATTATCTTTTAAGGTAACCACATACTAAGACATATAACACTTAGGTATGGATTTTAACAAGCACATCAGCAAAACAAATCAGGTAAAAATAAAAAAATTTTATTTACATTATTTTTTATAATACATTATTATTAAAAAATAAATCAATCGATTTTAGAGCGTCTCCCACCAACCCTAATTGATTCTAGATTATTTAAATTTTAAAGATTTTACAAACAAATAAGCAGACAAAAATTTGGACTCCTCAAACATATAAAAAAAATATATTTTTATGTTTATAAAAAAATTATTTTTTATATGTTTGAGTCGGTATTCAAATTTGGGGTAACGCTGCCCCAAGTAACATCCAAAAAATACAATCATTCCAATCCATCTGCCTTCGCACTATTACAAAATCCCCCTGGTATGTTGGTATGTAAGTAACAAAACCCTTCACTCCGACCTGAGAATAAATTACGTAAACCAAGTCACTAAAACTGCTTACCAAAAACTCCACAAAAAATTTAGCTCCCATAGTAACCCCAACATTAGTTTTCTAATTTCTTGCTCCACTACACATCCCTGACAACCCCCCTCGAAGACTCAAACGTAAATGGGTTAGAGACCTCCTCCATTAATTAATACCCAAGTAGGTAGCTCCATTGGGAGCCCTCCTACATCGTGCCATTTCATGTTATGTAATCCTCTTCATCACTATTACTTGTTGTGCTTAATTGTATAGTTGTATATTTTCTTATTAAAAAAAAAAAAAAATAAAAAAAAATATGTTTGAGTCCAAATTTTTGTCAGCTGATTTTTTATAACATCTTTAAATAACCTAGAATAATTTGGTGTACCTACCTATTTTTTGATATAGTGATCAAAATATATTTTTAATAATACTTAAATCAGAATACTTTTAAAGTAAAATATTAAAAATAATAATACCTATATAATATCAAATATCAGATAAACCGTTTATCTTAATTTCAGTGTAGATGAGTAGAGTAGTTACCTACCTTCCTACCTACCTACCTACCTACCTACTCAGTACTTTACTGTTTGCCTACTTGATAGGTACCTACTGGCTACTATGATTATTGATTTCATTATTCTTATCCAAACTGTAAGTGCTTATTAATGAAAACACTATTGTTTAATATTGTTCAATATTATTAAAACAAGATTATAAAAAAATGTTTTTTCAATAATGAAGTGTGCCTAATCATATTTTATTAGGTACAGAAAAAAATAAATTCAAGTTAGAATAAACATCATCCTGCATTTATGCAATATAGGAATATTATATGCGTTATACCTACGTCCTACCATAATATTATAATAAACATTATAGGTACTTAATCAATGTAAACGGAAAACATACACGGAAGTTATTCATGATACATTATAATATAACTATAATAGGACAGTGGTATTTACATTTTAATTTTTAGGTCGTTATTTAAAAAAAAATCTTGTTGGCCACATTCATTACATATTATATTAAAATTATTAAAATTTATAAAAAAAATTCGGGAGCTTCAAATATTGACGAGGCGGGTTGCGGGTTGTAAGATCCTGGTGTAGAACATAGTTAGGACCTCAAAATATGTACGCGCACTCATGTACATATTTACAAAACAATTATTATGGCCTATGGACTTAAAATATGCACTAAAAAAATGTGATAGGTATATAAAAATAATAGGTAAATAAATTATATTATTTAAATGAAAAAAAATATAAAATTTTTTATTTGAATTAATAGGTGGTTGATAAACAATTAAATTAATTGCATAATAATCAAACAACTGTTGTAGGTATAGGTACCTATGCTATAAATATTATGATGGACAATTACTTAAATTTACTTCCTAAACGCGGCGTGGTGTTACCTATCAGTCAGATAGTGAATTAGGCACGTAACCGATAATATGAATATTATATAATATATAGATAGGTACCTAGCTGGAAAAAACCTAGTTCGGTTAAAAGTAGTCGAAAACAAGATACTAATATAATATATACGAAGTAGGTATGTCATGTCGATAACGGCACTCATTGCATTATATTATCAATATTAAATATTTAATTCAATTATTTAAATCAATATTAAACATTATAAAATATTAATATCAGTATTAAATTACATATAGGCACAATTTTTTTTTATAAGCATTTAAAAATTAAATTTATCAAATTTAAAATTGAATAATTATTTTGTAGTTAAAAATGTATAAGATGTTTAACTTTTATATCTAAGGATTGAAAATTTAAAACAAGATTCCACGTAAGTAGTTACCTCTGTAAAAATCTAAAAAATACACAAGCACAGTTTATTTTTATAGTCGTTTTAAGTTCAAATTTGGAAGAAATTACATATTAAAAAACCTAGAATAACTATTTTAGTTATTTTGTTGTGATTGTATAATATTATTCGTGGGTACTTGAAACTTCTAAAGTGTACTATTATATAATATCTATGATAGTATCAGGGTTTGTTGTTGACGTATTATGCATTATAAGTACCTAATGTATATTGTGATATGATTAATTTGGAATTTATTATTGGTACCTATTGTCCTATTATAGGTCATTTTTTTTTTTAATACCATATTAGTTATGTATATAATATGTCTTATACCTAGACTGACATACCGTCTCCGTTCAGAATGGTTTTTCTTATACAATGATATTATATCATTTAATTCAAATTTAATACCATCCATTATACAGTGACCCAATTGTAACCTACTCAGGGACTGGAAAATTTATGATTTTATCGGTTTGGGTTTAAGTTTCGGTTCTCAAAAACCCAAAATTTCGGTTCCGGTTCTGGTTTTGGTTAATACCAGTTTTAACCCTTATTATTTGACTTTTTTTTTTATTTTATTTTTATCAATTAAGTACTATATAAAAAAATTAACATATTAATAACCTCTTTTTAGTGACAGGTATTTGTAATTAAGTGTAACTATTTCAGAATTTAGGTAATATTATAAAAAAATGAATTAATAAAAATAATAAATAAATTTTAATATTAAAATAAATAAAAATATATTATTAAAAAAAAAATAAGAATGCATTTTTGACACACTTGGGTGACAGTTTCAGTTTCAGTTTGATATAATAATTTATAACTTATATTTAAAAATATAAATTTAAACAATATATACACCGCGGTAACGAAGACGGAAGAACAGTTCATACGGTTCAGTAGTAGGTATCTAGTAGGTACAGTCAAATTGTCGTACAGAGCATATTACCTATAGAGTAAAGTGTTAACGATACCTGCATACCTTAGGTTTAGGTATTAATTTATATTTTATAACTTATAATATGACAACTTACTCTGAATTCTGAAACACTTATAAACGTCCAAATTGCTATTATTTTCAGAAATTCTACATCAGCTATTGCGAATTGCTATTTGCGATTCAATAATAATATTGATATCGATTACATGGAAATTAGAATTCGGATTTTTGGTACCTATTTCTTTTATGACAATTATTCTGTTGTACACTTAATAATATTCTTATTTCTTAGAGAATTGATATTATAATTATTATTATTTGGAACCGAAAAAAACCATAAAAACCTCAAAACTTTCAAGATATAGGTTTCGGTTTCGGTTTCGGTTCCTAAAAAAATGTATTTAAGGGTTTCGGTCCCAAGATTTCCAAAAGGTTTCGGTCCAAAACCGGTCAATTTCGGTACGGTTCCAGTCCCTGAACCTAATCTACAGCAGAGCACTTTTTTTTTTTAAATACAACGATTTAATATCAAATGGCTATATTATGATTTATGAATACAAAACATACACAATAAAGTCGTATAGACCAGTGGTCTTCAACCTTTTTGGACTTGCGACCCACATTTTTAGGCCTACATTTTTCGCGGCCCACGGAAGCTTTATAAAAAATCGTAAATTGCTTAATGCTTTGCAATAGTACTATTAAAACTGAATAAATAAAAATTACATTTTAATAGGTAGAATGTTATTATTAATTGAAAATGTATAGAATTCATATGAAAATATAAAATAAAATGAAAATATGATACAAAAAATTTAATGTGAACTTTGTCCTTGAGTGTTTTCACATAATAAATTCCATCTTGGCTCAATTTGACTAAGCGCGATCCGTAAATCATCTTCAGTTTCAAGTCTGTTTCTCTTTGATGTTTTAAAATTTGCCATAGTAGAAAACGCCTTTTCACATAAATATGTAGATGGAAATATTAATAAAATTGAGATGGCTTTAGTTGCTAATTCTGCGTAATTTCCCGTGCATAAGTGTGCCCAAAATATTTCTAATGAAGTTTCACAAAACATTTGTTTCAATTTGTTATCACACGATAGCTCAATTAATTGATTTTCAATGTCAGTAGACATATTTACTGTCATTATATCTATTGCGAATGGTTGTTCAATCCACTCATAATTTACACGAATATCCTCAGGAAAATATTGTTTAAATAATTGTTCTAAGTTTGTCAAATGTTCGTTTACTAATTCAGAAATGTCTTCGAACTTGATTGAAGAATCTTCTTCTAAAAACTCACTAACGTTGGTGAAATTATCAATATTTCCAGAAGATACTCGAGCTTTTATAATACGAAGTTTTTTCTTAAATGATTCAATTTTTTTTGTATGATCAATCATACCAGTGTAATATGAAATATTATGATTATACCGTATTTAGTATTACATAATAGGTATTATATAATAGAATATAGAATAACAATAAATTATAAAATATTGTTGATACATAATACACAACATACACTACTATTTTTAAACTGTATTTTCATTTATTAAATTTCTAAATGTAATTATTAAAAAATTATTTTTTTACCTTTTATAATTTTAAAAATTTTATTTTTATTTTAAAAAGAAGACTTATCGTGACCCAATGTTAAAGACCCACCGGTTGAAGACCACTGGTATAGACGACTGTGTAGAATTATTTTTCGAATGTCATTGTTAATCATTGGCTTCAAAATTAAAATAATAATAGTTGAGTGTATGGATATTAAAAAATGTTAACTCTATAATAATATTATAAACGTAGGTTCGCGCTGAAGTAGCCGAAGCAAAACGAGTGCATAGTCACTATTTCCTGTCCATTAGTTTTCATTTTACAGTCAAGTGAGTTTAAATAAGTACTAACCCACTACCTAGTATTTACTTTATATAATAATGTAAATAATGATTTTTCTTTTTTTTTGTTGTATTCATATTTTATTAACATAAATAAACACAATACTTCAACATTAAAATATTAACTCTGAATGATAATCAAATGTACAACGGTGAATGACGTATGTGTTAACAAAGCGTTATCGAAGTCATCATTAACTTATCACGAATACAATTTTACTATAAAATGCAACGCTAGGAACTCACTCACAACAGATAAAATGCAAAAGTCAGTGATCCAGTATTACACCAACACTGCAATCATGAATACATCGCAATTCAAACGGAGAAATATGACTAATTTCTTTGGTAGGTAATTATAATATATTTTATAAAAATCACTACCTATTTTAAAGTCAATAATTATTTGGCTTTGAATTAAACTTAATGAATATTCAATGCACGGTAGTTTATTGAAACAACTAGGTACCTAATTAATTTAATTCGATTTAAACATTTATTTTGTATTTTTTATAATATTACCTTAACAGTAAACGTTTTAGACTGACTATGAGAAATTTGACTATTTGAACTTTTTATTCATATGTTACGAGTATTCAATATACTTTCTATAGCAATATACCTATATTTATAAAAATGTGTAAGTAGGTATATTCCTATAATACTTATTCAATACTATTGATTTGTTAAGTGAAGTTATAATATGCTCTTTGGCCTTGGCACAGAACTTAAAATGAAAATTGAACAGCCTTTAATAATTATTCTAATTATTTATTAACATTTAAATAATTAAATTTTAAAGTTTATTTCATTGAAATTCGTTAACCTGCAATTTCATAGGTAGTTAATAAATTCAAAACTTAGAAATGAAAGTTCTGAATAACTTGTATTTTTAAATAAATATTTGGATCTATCATAAGTTTGGTATAATGATATGATGCCGTGGTTAAATAACATAATTTTAGACATACACAAGTCAATTCATATTTGTAAAGTTGTATAATGCATTTGATTAAAATTGTTAATTTTTTTTCATATTTAGTGTTCTGTTTGATCACATTGACATTTTCGTCAGTGTGTTTGGGGTCAAAGCATATTGTTTTGTTCTCGGACAATGAAAACAATTTGCTAGTGGAACATGGAAGTAAGTACTAAATATTATAGATAACGTTTATTTATAATAATTTATTCTTATATATATGCTTAATCTAAAAAGGTTATTAATTATGATTATAATATTTTTTCATTATAGAAATAACCACAGAAAATAGCCTCAAGCTTAACTTCCATGAAGATTGTATTGATAAAGATCTGAGTGTTTGTGCACCAAAAACAAAAGGCAATGAAAACTATTTGAGTTACTTTTCACGATCAGAGAAGCAAGAATGTCATAACTACGAGCAAGTAGCTCAATCGACGAATGATGTCTTGCAATTTTGTGTCGATATGGGGAAGAGTTCCTGGTATGGTGGTGCCGAAACGATTTATCAACATTGGCCTCTGAATAAACTTAATTGGACGAATAAGGCATATGTGTCTAGAGAAGCAGACTGCCAAGCAGTGAGTATAAAATGATAACTATTTAATTGTATTCTATACAAAATATATATTTAAAGGTTAAAATGTCTATGATTAAGCTGCATTATCTATGACCATGTTTGCATATTTTAAGCTTTAAAACAAAACGAATCGTTACAGAATTTCCGAATTAACTTTTACCCAAACTTTAAGCGATGTACTATTGCCAATCAAGAAATGTATATATCTAAACCAAATTAACTATGATACATTAATACGTATCATAAGTAAAGTGTATTTGTTATTTATCACTTAGGTTGTATTTGTTTAAAGCAGCTAGGTATTTAATGAACTTAATATTGTAACAAATATAATTTGTTTTTTATTTTAGGTCGTCGAATCTTATTTCTTCAATTCTGACGGATATTCTATCCATATCGACGAGTCGGTTGCTCTGTTTCTAGATATAAATGGTCCACGACCCGGTGAAATGTGTTTCAGTGCTAAAGTTGTTGCTCCATATAGAAAAGTTAGAAATGTCATGCAGTACCAAGTATGCAAATACAAAAACGCTCGAGTAGCACACGAAAGAGCTATTAAAGATTTCCTTGGTATGCCTTCAGCAATACCTGATCCATACGTTATAAAGTATCCAATATGGTCCACGTGGGCTAGGTATAAAGCTGATGTGGACACGAAGATTATTCGTAAGTTTGCAGGAGAAATAGCCGACCATGGGTTTCCCAAAGGTACACTTGAAATCGATGATAAATGGGAGACTTGCTACGGTAGTGCAGAATTTAATACGACAAGATTCGAGAACATAAAAGGACTAATTAATGACTTAAGTAAGTATTAAATAATTTACAATTAAGTATTAGAACAATTTGCTTTAATTCATAATATGTATATACATGTACAGATCTACTGTTGTATAGGCACCTATAGTTATTAGTTATTACTATTATTCCTTACCCTTTATCTAACTAGATTAGAGACTAATTATTTTATTAGAAAAATGTCCATTGGAACTTAAAATCAAAAAGAATAGTTATATACTCTAGTCTATGTTAATTCAAACCAAACCATGGTTATATTTAATCGCGTTGTGCTTGGTACAATTTACCAATTGTTTGATATTAAAAATAACAATTGAGTGTGTAATTATGCTCATACAATAACGGAACATCATATACATTTTAAAAGTGGGTGATAAACAGTTGGCTCTGGAAACATTGAAATTGAATACTAAATTATTTTTTACATTAAAAAAAAATTCTTAATCTACATAATAATATTCAAATAATAATATGTATACTAATATAGTAATATATAATATTATTATATAACATGTTCAAAAAACCTGTAGTCAAAAATTAAAATTTGGAAATTTAATCCAATAAAATCTTATATTCTATTTAAATTATGTAATTTTAACATGGTATAATATGTTAGTGTGTAAATGCTTATACTTATATTTTATTAATGAATTAAGTGTATTCAAATACATATTTTATTTTTTATTGACACATATTTAAAAAAAAAAAAATTGAATGTAATATGGTAATATTATAGTCATATACTCCTATCAAATTTAATTTTTAATAGTAAATCGTCCACATTTTCAATTTTAAACTTAAACAAAACCTTGTGAGTCCATTCTCTTTAACAATCTTCCCGTTTGCTTATTATAGACATTAACTGAATAACTGTTTAACTCTTATTTATGTCATAATAAATACTTTACAGAATCAAATGGTTTCAAGACATCCTTGTGGACACATCCGTTCCTAAATTTGGAATGTCCTACTCACGAGATGGCCAAAAACAACGGTTACTTGGTGAGAAGTACATCGGGCACAGTTAATACTAAGTGGTGGAATGGAAATGGCTCTTATATAGACTTCACAAATCCTGAAGCAGCTGCATGGTGGTCTAATGGTCTACGCAATTTACTTGCAACATCTGGTATTGATACATTAAAGTTTGATGCAGGAGAAACCAGTTGGTATGTTTATGTTAATATTAAAACTTAATTTACGAGTACCTAATTATGTAGTAATGATTAATATGAATACTATGAAACTAAACATTATTGAAAGCAAATTATAAGACTCGAGCCATCTTTCTATATAATATAATCAAGTGTATTATACAGAGACCTACACCTAATGTGGTGTATTTGCTTGCTTAAACATTTTTATTTTTATAATACTTCATAATATTAAAGAATGAAGAAAATTACAAATTTTTTTTTTATTCTCGTTGTATAGAAATATATACAGACAACAGACTGTCCCGTGGGATATACCCATTAGCCGTAGAGGGGAACTCACCACCCGGACATAAACCGGGTTTTTTCCGTTTTAAAATATGTGTAATCCTTGTCAGACTCACAGAGACAAGAAAAAAAAAACTGATTTATGATATATTTATTATCTAAGGAGATATCGCAATTAGTAAATCCTCGAGTTAAAACCTGTTTTTATATACAGCGCTTCAGAGTAAATTCTGAATTAAAATACTCAAGTATAAACTTCAATACAACTTAAAACCAATAACTAATTTGTTACCTTTATCAACCATAATACAAAGTATTAATATATTTTTATTTTTACACAGGAGTCCGCAACTTCCAGTATTTCACGATAATGATCTGACTTACTACCCTGATAACATCGTATACGCATATATTAAAACTATTGAATCCTTCGGCGGTGGAATCGAGTATAGATCATCCAGAAAATGTCAAAAATTTGGCCGTCTTTTAAGAATGATGGATCGTAATTCTCGGTGGGACTTCGAACTTGGACTACCCACATTGATAACATCACTGATACAATTGAATATGATCGGATATCCGTTTGTGTTACCTGATATGATCGGTGGAAACGGTTACGATAGCTTACCGCCTTCCAAAGAGATGTACATCAGGTGGATGCAAGCAAACGTATTCATGCCAGTCGTACAGTTTTCATATACACCTTGGGACTTCGATCAACAGGTAAATAGCCATTTGTTGAAAAAGTTAAAAAAAAATTGCCAGTAAATAAGTTGAATTTTTTTAAATTAAATGTATAACCGTTGAAACTTTTGTTTATACAGACGATAGATATATGCAGAAATTTATTGAATCTCCGTGCTAATCATACAGACACCATTATCGATCTAATGAGAAGTAGCGTTAGCAAGGGTAGTCCACTGAATCCTCCAGTCTGGTGGATCGACCCAACCGACCAAATCGCACAAAAAATTGATGACGGTATGAAAATAAACTGAAATTTCCAGAAACCATATTATATAGTTTTATAAATCTTTAATAATTACATTTTTAACGTACATTTTGTAGAATTCCTTTTGGGTGAAAATATCCTTGTGGCCCCGGTCATTGTTGAAGGTGCTACATCCCGAGACGTTTACTTGCCTTCTGGGGTTTGGAGAGACGAGAACCATCCGAATTCAAAACTCATTAACGGCAGGAAGTGGTTGCGAAACTACCCTGCCAAGCTCGATGTTCTTCCGTGGTTTACCAGAGTTAGAAGTGGCAATCATAACATGTTCCGATAAATTTCCAATATTATTTTTTATTATTTTTATATAAATTTATAATTTTTTGAATGTGCAAATAAAAATTGAATAAAATTAGTTTTATAAATTGTTATATTGATTGTCGCTTACAACTCACTTGACCTAACACCTACATAATATTATTATCATTTTCTTTTATTTTACAACTTTTTAATAATTGTTTTTAATATTTTTTTAAGATTTACACATGATTTTGGGTTGGATCTGTTATGGTTTTTTTTTTACTACCGTTTTCTTTTAGTTTCCAAGAAAAACTATAATAATTGTGGTTTAATAAAAAATGTTGAGTACCTATATTAGTTATTATAATTCATAACCGACTCCGCTCGAGTTAAAATTGTTAAAACTATCTTTCGTCGTATTCTGTTTGGCTGCAGTTGAAATATCTAATACATACCTTTATGAACACAATATTACGATGCGATTACTTATGTAAACATAACTATCATAGCTAACATACAAACTATCAAAACTTTGATTTCATGAACGTATTGTACATTTGTACCTACTATAATATGAACTGCGTTGATAAAAATAATACCGTAATATACCTAATAAATTGTCGCCTACCCATATCGGAATTTTAGATTTTGAGTGGAACGATGAATGTATTGATTTTACAATGATGTGTGTTTTTTTATATTTTTTTTATTTGTGTCTGTCATCACCTTTTAGGACAGTAAAGTGCTTGAATTTTCTTCAACAGTATTTTTTCTGATAGAAAAGTTAATCTAGTTGGTATTTTGGGGGGTGAAAAGTAAATTTTTCCAGTAGTTTTCAAAAGCGACGTGAAAAACAAAAGAATAATTAAGGAAAAACGGGAATTTTTACGCAAAATCTGTTTTCGAAAATCTGATTTTGGTTTTTGGGGCAAATCTTAAACGAATGACCGTAGGTACATGAAATTTTTATTGACTGTTTATATTAGCATTTTCTATACACCATGCCTTTTATAAAATATTTTGACTTATTTTGAGCTGTTTAGGGACATTTTCAGTTTCCAATTTTTTTAGTTTTTTATTCTATAAATATCATTAAAATTTTATTGGTTGGTTAAAAAGCTTGACAATTTAATAGAGGGCTTCTAGTATATGATTTCAAAAGCAGATGAAAAATATTAAAAATTCTTAGTCACAGTTTTTTTTGATAAGCATTTAGAGTTCAAAAATTGACAAAATATGAAAAAATCACGAAAATTAGCAAATTATTTTGAGTTAAGAATTCGTAAAAATTTTTCTTTTAAAATCTAAGATTTTAAAATGTAATACAAGATTCCTTATAAGATTATCTACCATTATCAAAAAAAAAATGTTTATAAGAAAGTCAAATCAAATTAAATTTTTACAACATTGGATATTCACTCGATTCCTCAAGTAGCGATTTCTTTATTTAGTTGTAATTCAAAAACGAATAACTGTAGATACATGAAAATTTCACTAAATGTTTAAATTAGCATTTCCTATACACCATACAATTTTGAAAATATTTTGACTCTTTTTGAGCTGTTTACGGAATTTTCAGTTTTCAATTTTTTTATTTTTTTTTTCTATAAATATCAATCAAGTTTTATCTGTTGGGCCAAAAAGTGTTAAAATTTAATACAAGGCTCCTGATATATTTTTACAATAGCAATTGAAAAATATTAAAAATACATATGCACAATTTTTTTTATAAGCATTTAAAGATCGAATTTTGACAAAATGTATCAAATTTAAAAATGAATAATATTTTGTAGTTAAAAATTTATAAGATATTTAACTTTTATATCTAAGAATTGAAAACTTAAAACAAGATTTCACGTAAGTAGTTACCTCTGTTACCAAAATATTTAAAAAATACATAAGCACAAATTATTTTTATACTCATTTTAAGTTCAACTTTGGACGAAATTACATAATAAAAAACCTAGAATAACTATTTTAGTTGTTTTGTTGTGATTGTATAATATTATTCGTGGGTACTTGAAACTTCTAAAGTACACTATTATATATCTATGATAGTATCAGGGTTTGTTGTTGACATATTATGCATTATAAGGACCTAATAGATATTGTGATATAATTAATTAGCAATTTATTATAGGTAAATTTTTTTAATACCATAGATAAGTATATAATATGTCTTATACCTAGACTGACATACCGTCTCCACTTAGAATCGTTTTTCTTATACAATGATTTTATATCATTGAATTCAAATTTAATACTATCCATTATAAAGTGACCCACTTGTAACCTACTGTACAGCAGAGCACCTTTTTCAAAATGTTTTTTAGATTTTAGTAGTTTTAACAAATAAGTATTTTTGAATATCAAAATCACATCAAATCGCATTGATATTTGTTCAATGTTTTTTTAAATTTTTAAGTCACAATAATGGTTTGACAATATATTTTTATATACTAAAAATGACCACTCCACTTCAACATGATTCGACAGGCGAGTACTTAAAATTAACAATATTCTGTATAAATATATCGTAAATATGCTCCTAAATCTGGAGCTATAATAATCATTATAACTGTGTAAAAAAATTTGTAGATTTGAAATCTGGACTTCATTAATTTTAATTACTTTGACAGTAGAAGGATCTTCGAAGCCTGGAAGACGCCAAAAACTGCTACAGGTTGACGGGCGGCCGACCGTGGCGTTGACCTGGTGACGCAGCCCCAACCATGGTACAAGTAACTTGGAAAATCTCATTCAACGTCCACGAAGCTCTGAAACAAGCATATTCTGCGATCCGCGTTCATCAGACACTTCCAGCCTTTTCCATGCCGATTTACGACGATCAGACCGCGGTGCAGGTGTTCCAGTAAGACGGTCTTTGCTTCGCTGTCGTCTTTAGCTTTGATTAAAGATAAAATGGGCCCCAGGACACCATACACTTAGTGGGCCCCATTTCAACTTAAACTACAAAATAATTGTATTATTACATAGGTATTAACGACTTAATGTTATTGTATATTTTTTTACTATACAAAAAATATACAGGTGTATCGTATGTCATTTTAAGCGGGTTTTTTTTTTAACAATTATGGATCGATGATATGGAATTTCGTTAAAACAAAAAAAGATACGTGTTTCCTTATTTTTAACAGGCCATTTTTTTTATAACATTTTCAAAATGTTTAAATACGCAATTTTACCAATATTAAAATCGACTTTATTTTTGCAAATGGTAACCACCATATTTTTTATGGATTCCGGTAAAGCTTTTTTTCTGAACATTTTGACAGTTTAATGATCAATTTTGGTTCGCTAGAAAAGTTGCTGATCTTGAAAATTTAAGCATTTTTACTACACAAAATGTCAATGACAGTAAATACTAAATACAATAAATTCTTTCGCTTCGTTCAGAATCTAAAATCAACTTTATTTACCTTAGTAAAAAATTAAAAAAACATTGTGTATTAACGCTGAACTTCACCAAGTCAACCAACAGTTAATTTAACTTTGAATTCGTTATCTTATTATCACATATTAACTTAACTTGACCGAGTTAAAAAATTATTATTAACTTGCCCAGCGCGTTGATATCCTAGATACTTTGGGTGGTATCGCAGTCAATGCCATTTCAGAATTTCATAAATGTCGTTATCCACGAATATTATAAGATGTACTAATATAAACTACGTACGTACGTATTAATTTGATATTAAGATATTTTGTAAATTTATGTATAAATACTAAGTATTTTAACATTCATCGATCCTATTAAATTTAGAATATTACCCTTCTTATGATCATTTTATTTTATTTTGCTTTGCATAATATAAAAAATACGACCTTTAAATATTACCTAAACGACAAAGGTAACGAACAGAAAGCGGTGACAATCATAATATTATTATCATATTGCAGAGAAGCAAATTAAAATTTTTGAAATCAAAAAGAAATTGATTACACTATATAAGAGAGTAAGACTTATTTATTTGTGTGTCGTAATGTATGTAGCAAGATGAGTGTCTACCGTTTAGCCACCATTTCCTGTCATTATTTTTTTTTTCATAATCGAGTGCAGTTAATTCTTTAACTGTGTAACTATCATGATTAACACATTAAGTAAACAGAATACTTCAACGTTAAAATAATTAAATGAAGAATTGAATATACAAAAAAATATCTACACTGACGTATGTATATTTTCGTAGTATTATTGAACTCATCGATTTATCACAAATACGATTGAACTAAAAATTATAAAACACAATAATTTAACTAGTATATTACATAATTAGACACTATTCGACTCTAGAAAGCTCATTACCATACTATTATCTTATGCTCCGTGAGCACCACCATGTATGTTACGTTGCAAATAAAACGGAGAAATATGACAAATTTATTGGGTAAGTATTAAAAATAAAATAATTATATTAATATTGTATTTTAATAAGTTTTAATTGACTTATACAACATTATGGCTATCTATTTTTATTCAATTGTCTACGTTGTTCTATACGATTTAAAATGTTTACAAACTTTAGACTTTAGGTTACGAAAACGTGTGAATATTAAAACTAATATTGTGCCCATTGCTTAGTATTAAAATTAGACCTATAAACCGTTTTAATTTTAATTAAACTTTTACCAATCCAGTGTTTTTGATTTTTTGTGTGAAATTATGATCATAGAATTCGGCATTTTAAGTGATCGACATTTTACAGAAATCAATTGTCAGTAGTTATTATCACTTTAAAAGTTTATTTCAAATATAACTTTAACACTTCAAAATTTGAAATGAAGGCTGTGAATAACCATAATACCAATAGGATTAACATATATTTACTTATTTTAAACAAACATCATATTTAGCACACATTACATAATTTCCATACAATATATTACAATTTATAATAGGAGTTACAAAGTAATTTGTACATAGAAAAACTAATTATGTAGATTTTTTCAATAATTTTTTACAAAAATGTAATAAATAATATTGTAATTTAAAAGTTTTTAATATAGGGATAACGTCAATTAGATGTGTTCATTATCTTTAGCAAATGCACACCATCGACACACAATTATTATACCTACTCGTATTACATTTTAAAAATTATTCAGTGAATAACCTAAGGGTAAGTAGGTAATCATACCTAAGTGACAAGTTTAAATGTTAGTGTAATATTATGGTTTATGAGTTTTAAATTATTCAATAAAATCAACAAACATCATCATAATTATTATTTTTCTTTTGTTTTTAGTATTATATTTGATTACATTGACATTTTCGTCAGTGTGTCTGGGGTCCAAGAATATTGTTTTGTTCTCAGATAATGAAAACAAATTGCAAGTGGAACATGGAAGTAATTACTAAATATTATAACAATTAATATTTTATCATAATAATTTATTAGTTTGTGTGATTTAATATTCAAGGGTTATTTGTTCGTTTTAGAAATAACCACAGAAAACAGCCTTAATCTTAATTTCTATGAAGATTGTATCGATAAAGATCTGAGTGTTTGCACACCAAAGCCGAAAGGAAACGAAAACTATTTGCGTTTCTTTTCGCAATCGGAAAAGCAAGAATGTCAGAATTTCGAGCAAGTAGCTCAGTCGATGAACGATGTGTTGCAATTTTGTGTGGATTTGGGGAACAGTTCTTGGTACGGTGGGACCGAAACGACCTACCAGTATTGGCCACTGAATAAACTCGACATGACGGATAAACCATTTGTGACAAGAAATGTAGACAGCCAAGCAGTGAGTATCAATAGTCAGAATTATTTAAATGCATTCCGTATTAATACTTTCGTCTAGGCTTTAAGCAAGAATTCACTTATAAGTCAAAAAGTTTCTTACTTTTCACATCGTATTGATTAAGGACTTGATACGATAATATATATATATTAATTTTGTTTTATTTGTTTAAGGTCGTCGAGTCGTATTTCTTCAACTCCAACGGATATTATATTCATATCGACGAGTCGGTTCCTCTTTTTCTAGACATAAATGGTCCACGACCAGGAAAAATGTGTTTTACAGCTAAAGTTGTTGCACCGTACAGAAAAGTTAGGAATGCAATGCTATACCGAATATGCAAATACAAAAACGCTCGAGTAGCACACGAAAGAGCTATTAAAGATTTCCTTGGTATGCCTTCGTCAATACCTGATCCATACGTTATAAAGTATCCGATATGGTCCACGTGGGCTAGATATAAGGTCGATATAGACACGTCCATTGTTCGAAAGTTTGCTCAAGAAATCATCGATCAAGGATTTCCTATAGGCACTCTAGAAATCGATGACAACTGGGAGACTTGCTACGGCAGTGCAGAATTTAATACAACACGGTTCGAGAACATATCAGGACTTGTCGATGAATTGAGTAAGTAACAAAATAATTTAGTGTAAATATTTCGTAAAATTTTCTATAATTTATATATTATACAGATATTCATTACAAATAAATATTAAAAAGGTACCTCAAATCGTAAAATAATATAAAATAACCAATAATAAAAGCTATGGTCCAAAGTCAGTACTTTTCGGTACGATTTCAGTCATCGCGTATAATGAACAAACCATTTTCTAGTGATAATATAATAATATAAATATTTTAGAGTATAATTTGACATACTATAACATATTTTGCATTAAAACATATAAGTTTGCTGAATTTTGATATAAAAATTATGTTTATAGGTTTATTTACCGTTTAAACTTAACCTTGTAGGACTAACAGTGGCGTAGCCAGGATTATGAAATGGGGGGTGTTTAAGTACAGATTATAACCAAGTTTTACAGTTTTCGTATATAAATAAATTTGGGGTTCGGGACTTGACTTGTTGCACTAAATATTATGATGCAGTCAAAGTTGTCAAAATATTCTTAAATATATACAGCTACATTGTTATATTATTTTTGAAAAATTCATAAAACATACTACAATTTTGGTAATAAAAAACTAAAAAATAATTAAGTATATAAACATAAATAATTTATACATGGGTTTATTAATTTTAATATAGGTAGGTACCTATATTGATTAATGTGATGGACGGATTACACTATTGCATGTTTTGGACATTTTTAAACTATTGTGGAATAAAACAACTTGATTTTTAAAAATACTGGCATAAAATACTAGGTTAATAAATATGTAATAACGAATAACGTGATATGCGAACACCGTGATAAACGAACACGTATCTACTGATTTTCATTTCTTCGTACAATTTAGAATGTAGATGTCAATTATAGTTTTAACACAGTCTTGTCACAAAGAGACTTAATTATAAAATTTTACATACCATAATTATGCGAAAATAGGGCAAACCGTATAGCCAAGCTCCACCAACAACATTAACAGCCCTCCCAATCATTTACTAAATTTTTTTAATTCAATTTTATAATAGTATGGTTTTAGGCTTCGGCCTGCCCAAATTTCAAAATTAACATATTGTACCTAACCAAACATAATATTTTTAAAGATATTTTTCGATGTTATCCAAATATGATTTTTCCCGAAAATTGTATGTACCTACATTTAAGTTAGAAAAATGCAAAATATGCATAAATATGCGAAAAATCGCTCAAATGTACACTTTTCCTAAAATATGCAAATTCAAACTTCAAACATTCAAACATTTAAAATATTTCATAAGACAAATTTATAACTTCTCTAAAATAATGCGAGCAGTCTCAAACCCTATAAACAATATTTTTATTAGGGAGGAAAATGTCAATGGGGGGTGTTTGAACACCCAAATCCCCCCCGGCTACGCCACTGAGGACTAATACTAATACTATCTTCTGAAAGAATCTTTTTGATTGCGTATGATAAATTATGTTACTCAATACACGAATATTGAATATCTCATTAATTGTAATATTTTTCGATTTATTGCTATAGCTATAATTATAGTTAGGTTGTAATAATTGTTCAAGTTCATACATTATCGAATGCTTATTATTAATCATAAGATTTTTTTAATAACCATATAAGTAATTTGATATTTTTTAAATATCAAATTCTTTTGAATAATATAATGATATACTTACTACACCTACTCGCGTGGCGAATATCTCTTAAAATAGGTATTTTATGTTTTAATTATTTTATAGAATTAAAAGGTTTCAAGACATCCTTGTGGACACATCCGTTCATAAATTTGGAATGTCCTACTCACGAGATGGCCAAAAACAAGGGTTACTTTGTTAAAAGTACGTCGGGCTCAGTTAATACTACGTGGTGGAATGGAGAAGCCTCTTATATAGACTTCACAAATCCCGAAGCAGCGACATGGTGGTCTAATACTCTCCATAGTTTACTAGCCAAATCTGGAATTGATACATTGAAGTTTGATGCAGGAGAAGCCACTTGGTATGTTTATGTTAAAAATTCTTAGTTGTAATTTACGATGAGTGAAAACTATAGAACTTAATATTATTTAAGACCCATTTTGCTTAACTTAATTAATCATAAATGCAATACACAGTATTATATCGATGCTTAAACACATTTATTACATCATTATATTTATAAATTATATAAAAGACAAAACATAAATTACCATACAAAACTATAGGTATTATAAATTAAGTATAATATTATATTTTTACTGTGCATGAATTTATATTTGTATTTTTTATGTACAGAGCGTAAAAATTAATACACAATTTAAATCTTAAAATATAAGCTTTTATAAAATAATATTATATAGTGAATGTTTCATCTTCAGCAAACATAGGTAGTAACTAGTATTATAATTTTATTTGTATATACAGGAGCCCGCAACTCCCAGAGTACCACGATAATGATCTGACCTACTACCCAGAGAATATCGTAAACGCTTATCTCAGAACTATTGCGACTTTTGGTAATGGCGTTGAGTACAGGCCATCAAGAAGAAGTCAAGAATTTGGCCGTCTTATAAGAATGATTGATCGCGAGTCTCGGTGGGATTACCAACTTGGACTTCCCACATTAATAACATCTCTTATACAAATGAATATGGTCGGATATTCGTTCGTGTTACCAGACATGATCGGTGGAGACGGTAACTTCGATTTACCGCCTTCAAAAGAGATGTATATTAGATGGTTGCAAGCAAATCTATTTATGCCGGTTGTACAGTTTTCGTACACACCTTGGGATTTTGATCAACAGGTAATATAAATGAGTTTAACAATAGATTGATATGATTGATTGAAAAAAAAAAAAAAAACATAAAATTCATTAAATTTATAAAGTTATGTACCATTTAATTTTTAACTTACTATTTTTAGACAGTAAATATATGCAGTCCTTTATTCAAAATCTACCAAAGCAAGGACACGAAATACTTCTCCAAATTTACAATATAATTTGGGATAAAGGCATATATCCAGACCAATGGCGCAACGCAATTGTTATACCCATCCCAAAACCAAATAAGAACAAATTCGACACCTCCAACTATAGGCCTATTTCACTCATCAATACACTAGGCAAAACATTAGAAAAAATAGTTAACAAGCGCTTCATTTGGCACTTGGAGACATCGAATATACTAACGATTGATCAATGTGGATTTCGAAGAAATCATTCAACTCTCGACACCCTCTCTTCCTTACACGATGATATCTGTAACGCAAAAAATCAAAAGCAACATCTAATATTAATAGCCTTAGACCTAGAAAAAGCATACGATATGGTATGGCGAAACAGAGCCCTTCAAATTATTCAAGAGTGTGGCATAAATGGTAAAATGTTCATATTCTTCAAAAATTTCTTAAAAAATCGTACAATCCAAGTTAAAGCTCACAATGAATTATCAAATACCTACCTAACTGAAAATGGCCTTCCCCAAGGTTCAGTGATCAGTGTAACAATGTTCCTGCTAGCTATTAACAATATATTTAAAGAAATTCCCAAACCTACAAAACACCTTCTTTTTGCCGACGATTGCCACATTTATTGCAGTGGACAAAATATTAAAACCACGATGGAAATACTACAACAAGCACTTAATATTCTCCAAAATTGGTCAAATAAGACCGGTTTCAAATTCTCTCCAGGGAAAAGTAAATGTATTTGTTTCCACACTCGTACGACAGAGAACCTACAATTATTCCTTAATAATTCTGAAATACCCTTTTGCAAATCCTTACGCGTATTAGGAATGATCTTTGATAGTGAATTAAAATGGACCCAACACCTAAAGGAACTTAAAAGCTCTTGCAAAATGAAAATGAACATAATGAAAATACTTTCAAATCACACTTGGGGTGCTGACACAAAAAGCCTTCTAAATATTTACAAATCACTAATACTATCACGAATAAATTACGGATCAATTATTTATAATTCAGCCAAAGAAAATCTACTCAAAATATTAGACCCGATACATAACGAAGGTATTCGCATTTCAATAGGAGCATACAGAACCAGCCCTATCGACAGTATTTTATGCTACGCTGGAGAACTACCTCTCAAACTCCAAAGAGAAAAAGACACACTCATCTACGGCATAAAAAGGAAAAGCACTCCTAATCACATAGGACACAACAATATTTTCCAAAACCAAAATAAAATCCTAACCAACATATCTGGGAAACAAATACCACCCATACACGTCACCTTCTCCCGTTTGTGCACAAAGTTTAAAATCCACACATCCGTTAAAAATAAAATTACTTTCCCAAAATTTTCACCTTGGCTTTGGAAAACCCACATAAATACCGAATTAACCAAATATAATAAGCATGAAACAAATTCGACAATTATCACGTCTCACTTCAAAGAAATTATCCAGAGTAAATACTCCATTTTTTCACAAATTTATACCGACGCATCTAAATCTCAACATGGAACTGGATTCGCAATCATCAAAGAAGAAACCGAAATCCTGCATAAGCTTCCTCCGGAGAGCAGCATTTTCACAGCAGAAAACTACGCCATATTAGAAGCAATCAAATCAACAAACCTGACACCTTCATATAACAATATTTTAATAATAAGTGACTCATTTAGTGCTCTTCTAGCTCTCCTAAACCCCTTCTCGACAAATGAAATAACCCAGAACATCCAAACTGAACTATATTCTACAAAAAAAAATATAGAATTTATGTGGGTACCTTCTCACACCGGCATTGCCGGTAACGAGATGGCCGATAAGTCAGCAGACAAAGCAGTTAAAACCATCTTACATCCAACAATCACTGACATACCGGCTAATGACATAAATATTTCCATTCGAAACAAAATAAATATGACATGGCAAAGTTACTGGGATTCTGTTCCGCCTTCCAACAAATTAAAAAAAATAAAAAAATGCACCCAAAAGTGGCACCATCTCCATAATTTAAACAGACGACAAGAAGTCACTCTAGCCAGAGTAAGAATTGGACATACTTCCCTGACTCATTCTTTTTTAATTAGAAAAGATCCACCACCCATATGTAATCAATGCCAAGAAGACCTAACCATTCAACACATCATCCTAGACTGCCCAAACCTCCAAAACACCAGAAATACCTTATCAATACCCAACAACTTAGAAGAAGCTCTCCATGAAGACAACACCACAAAAATCTTAAATTTCCTTACACAAATTAACATTGCACATAATCTTTAATCAATATGTATTTGTATTCATAATTTAAGACTCTGTAACCTTTTAAATATGTAATCATTAATGTAACCCACACTATGTAAATGTATTCAAGGCTAATAACCCCAGATGTTGAAGCCTCTTTTCTTTCAATAAAAAAAAAAAAAAATATATGCAGACGTTTAATGAATCTCCGTGCTAAATACACGGACACGATTATCCAATTAATGAGAAATTGTGTAAGTGAGGGTAGTCCACTTAATCCTCCAGTCTGGTGGATCGACCCTACTGATCCAGTCGCCCAAATAATTGACGACGGTTAGAAAATACATTTAAATTTTAATCGCCTATACCTAACTATATTTTTCTGAAGCAATTAAACGATTTATTTTTAAACTCATATTGTATAGAATATCTCTTGGGAGAAGATATCCTCGTGGCTCCGGTTATTATTGAAGGTGCTACTTCTCGAGATGTTTACTTGCCTTCTGGAATTTGGAGAGACGAGAACCATCCCAATTCACATCTCATTAAAGGTAGGAAGTGGCTGCGCAACTACCCTGCCAAGCTCGATGTTCTTCCGTGGTTCACCAGAGTTAGAGCTGTCCCCCATGTGTTCTGGTAAATTTCAATCAGTTTTTCTTTTACCTAGTTAAAATTGCATAAGTACATATTTTATAATTTTTTTGAAAGTAAAAATAGAAAAATATAATACAATAGTTATGGTTTTTTTAATTGTTGTACCTATAGAATATACCTATCTTAAAATTATTCGATCTTTTTAAAATCATTGTCCTTTTAGACTGTTCCTATTCTTTTATTTAAAAATTGCTTTTCTTAATTATAGGTATAGTTAATATTTTTACATGAAATATAAGGTATATCTCAAAACATTTAGAAGAAACATTAAAACTATTTTGGTTTTAAAAAAAAAAATGTTTCCAATACTGACCTCGGGCAGTTTTGAGTTTGAATTAGAATTTAACACATTTAATTGATCTATAGCAGTTCTTCGTTGTTGATTAAATTACACTCGGGACTTGCTACATTAGTAAGGCAGTAGAATGGATGTTCCCTGGTTTTTCGTTGTTGCATCTTAAGGGGCCTGGTCGCGATTTTTCAAATTTTCCGCAATTCTATAAAATTTGAAAATTAAATTTTATATTTTAGTTGCCACCTCAATTATAAGTCTTTTCCACTAATCTACTACCCAATACCTATTTAGGGGGGGTTGATAGGGTGTATTATATCGGTCAAAACACAGTTTACAGGAAAAACTCTCACACCTCGTAGATTGGTCCGATTTCCGTAATTTTTTTTTTGTTAGATAGAAGAATATTTTTTACAGGGCGCATTGGACTTTGATTTTTGATTACGTTGCTAAAAATAAATAATAATACAAAAACTAAAAAGTTGTAAAAATGGATTAAATTTAAACTTGTAATATAAGATTTAGAAAAATAATTTTGAAAATCCAAGTCCAATGCGCCCTGCAATACGTCTTTCTCTATTTAACAAAAAAAAAAATTACGGAAATCGGACCAATCTACAAGGCGTGAGAGTTTTTCCTGTAAGGCATGTTTTTGAGCAAAAAAACAGGTCGCGACCAGGCCCCTTAACGATTTCAGAACTCGTGAACTCGAGCAAACGTTTTTACGACTTTATTAGCAATACGAAACGAACTGTTGAATGATAAATCAATAGATAGTTAATTGATACTAATACGGAAAAACGACACAACTTGTTTGCGAAATGTTTTGTAAGTGAATAAGCTATTTTGACCAGTTAAAAAATTAGAATAATAATATCACTACGTCACCCCACTTATATCTCACTTATACTCCACTTATCCGATTTTTCTACAGAATAACGGAATAATAGACAGCTATTACAGGTATATACATCGGTTTCCATAACAATTATTATTTGTCGCGGAGAAATAAATTCAAGGAGAGAAACATCATCGCCGACGTTTCATTCTTTTTAAGTGCTCATTATTATAATACCTGCCTATGTAAATATAATATTATTATATACTAAAAAACGGTATAAAAATATTATCAAAATATACGTAATCGGTAATTCCATCGGATTTAATATTGTTATCGATAGAAACCGTCGGTAGTACAACTCGATGGCACAATGGCTGCAAATAGCACAGATTACAAGTTTCATATAATATTAATATATTATGAACAATAGGTAAGTACCTATACACCTCTACATCCATCATCATAGTTCGTCACGGTGAGACGTAGCCACGTAGGTATGGTCAATGGAATAGATAAGGGGGGACGTGGGGGGTCAGACCCCCCATTGGTATTTTATGACCTCAGTAAAAAGTTTTGAAAGGGTGGGGGATTTTCCAAATTTTTTTTTTTTATTTTAAAAAGAATATTTACAATCTATACGATAAGGTATAATAAGTAAGTGTGTTGAACATTTTATGTAAAATAATAACATTAATAGGAAGGCTCCCAGCAGTGCCACCTGACCAGTAATGAGATTTGCTTTAAAACAAAGTAGGTACCTCACGGTTATTATTTTGTCTATTGCGTGATACAAATTTTATACAATTAAAAATTAAGCTGTGCAAATTACACTAGTTATCATAATATTATTGATAATGAATTAAAACAAAATTCTTATAAAAAAAAAATGTTCATTTTTTTCCCATTTAGTATATTATTATTTTTATTATGTATATTTCAAAAACATATTACATTTAATGAAATTATGGTTTTGGTAGTTTGTTTCATTACCCATATCTTC